AATATGAATATAAATAAGCACCAATACGATGAGCATGGCAAGAATCTTCTTATGAGGTGGCAATGGTGGTTGTGAAAGTTACTCTTGAAAATAAATAAAAATGTACCTACGAAGATGAAGAGAATATAAAGACAAATACATTTGAATGAAAATTGTGAATGATTTTGAGATAGATGAGATGGGTTACGGTATGTGGGGGCTATGACAATGTGTGTAGTTGCAACTTGTCCGGGTTTGGGTCCCCTACATGCCCATATATATATATATATATATATATTTTTTTTTTGGGTTCAACAATTAGGGGTGTTTAGATTAATTTACGTGCACTTCATTAATTTTCTTTTAAAGTCAGGCCATTCACGCTAGGACTAAGGAATTCATAAGAAATTTATTTTTTGTGACCCAGCATCAAGAGTTAAATCTTAAATAATTATGTAAGAAGCATACCCACTAGACATTTAGGACAATCTCAAGATTCCCTACATGCCCATATGGTCCTCAAGTTGTGGTTGCAATTCAATTCAAAACCTTTCTTACTAAAAACCAAATTTCACTATCTCACATCTATACCCTCCTTTGGACCTACCGTCATTGGTATACATATACTGATTACGCCAAACATAAATTATAGTGTTTATTCATTTTAGGCCCATTGACAATAGCATTCAAGATGATAACCAAAGTGTGTACAGTAAATGACAAGAATGCCTATGTGAGAGTAAATAGCAGAAGAAACAAGAAAATTATTCGTGCCATTAACACCACCCATTTCACAAATGGAAAGGGATGTCGAGAAGATTGATTAGTCCTCCTAGGTGGCACACATATAATACAAGCCTCTCACTGTCGTTCTATATCTGTACATTTCCCTAATTGAAGAAGCAACTTGCATTTGTTTTTATTCTTCAATAGAAAACAATTTGTAATTTTAGAGCAGCGTTCATGCATATTATTCTAGACATTAGGCTACAAAATTTATTTCCCCCAAATTGGTTCGATTTTTGCTAGATTGCCGGGTAACTGAAGTATGTTCAATGATTTTTTAGGTTGAATTAATTGTCATTTTTCAAGGCAAATTAGGGAACCGTGTTTTGCTCCAACACTAAAAGCACAAAATTACTACCATGTTGCTCGTTTTAAGCGATCATAATAGGTGTTTGATGGAGATTATGGAAGTAACTTATAACTTATTTTAATATAAGAATTTGTGTCAAACTGTTTCGTGCAACTTCTGCTTATAACTTATTAGGCAACAATAATTTAAATAAGGTGAAAAAAATTAATACTTCAAAAGCTGGGTGAGAGTTGTTTTTAATTTATACTTTCTGATTATCAACTTTTAGTTTAGAATAATGTCCACTAAATACTCCCTTACTCATTTACAAAAATAATCAAATTATAGTTGAAAAAAAAAAAAATGTTAAGCTGACAAGGATAGTCCCGTGTTCATGCTACCAGTACCACAAAAATAAATAAATAAATACATAAATAAATAAATTAGGATGACCAAAGTTTGGTACTTTAGAGGAAGAAAAATCAAGGATAAATAAAACAAATATAACTAAACCAAAAGAAAAATAAAAATTGTTGGGTATGTTGGAAAATGGCTTTGAAAAATTCTTATTTTTTTGCTAACTTTAAGTATTAATTAAGGTGGGACCCAAGCGTTATTTTAAACATTTTTCATTGGGTTCATATTTAATGTTGCGTAGTGAATAAAACCGTTTATTTAGTTGCTCAAAACCATTTCCGGATGAATGAGAATTCAACGCGTGTTTTTAGATTCGTAGAAATGACTTTAGGTGGGTTTTCTACACATTTGTGAAATTTGCTTGTTCCATATTGGAAAAACTTAAGGTTTTGAATGAGTTTATATACTCTAGCTTCGGAGACTTGGGATGGGCCTCAAGAGGTATCCAAGTTTGTAGAAGGGTGAGGTTATGGGTAAAGTGGGTTAGACCTATTAAACCCAAAACAAAAACCACACGCGCTCCCCGCCGTCGCCTATTCGATCAATTGGGTTGGGCTTGTCTGACCCAATACTTATCTTTTTTGGGCCAAAATTATTTGCATTTTATTTATTTAATTTTGAATTTCGGTTTTCAAAATTCAAATTAAATATGTCCAGATTTTTTCTCACACCCAAACAGGTCATATCTATTGAATTCACCTGAACATGTTTTTCTACCTATTGACTCCACTCAAACAGATTCAAATTTGTCCAAGTACCTGTTCAATAAACCTGTTCGGAATAGCTACCTTTTCTCCTATAAAAAGCCAGCCTTCCAGCAATTCAGGAGATTAATTTTTCCCTTAGAATTCTGTCATTCTCCTTTTGTTCTTCTCTGTGTTTTTGCATCTGTTTTACATTTAATTTTTAGAAAGAAAGAGAAAGAGTCACAACAGAGTTTTGGTTCGCTAGATTTGATTTTGTAGTGCTGCAAATCAAGTGTTAGTCGTTGCATCTTGGGAAGTAGATGCTGGTAAATCTCGAAGCACTAGAGCGAGGGCGAAATCTACTTTAAAGAGATTGTGTCCAACACAAGCCTCGACTTTAATTTCTGTAAGCATTTAATTCAAAATTTAATTTATATAATTATTTTCTAAATTATTTTATTTTATTGTTTATTTAATTTATACATTTAATTTACACACACACACACCACTGTAGGTATAACAATCTTAAAGTAGATTTTCGATTTTTATTTACTTCTGCGTTAGACAGACGGATATTTTGTTTTGGGAAATTAAATAGTAGTCATATACTATTTAATTTCTTAAATAGTAGTAATATACAGTTTGATGATTTCTTTGATAACATAGTAGTAATATACTGTTTATCATTGGAATTTTGTTACAAAATTTTATTCTGTATATAATTGTGCAAATTCTTTTCTATATAAATTTGTGATTGGTGTCTTAATATTTCGTCAGAATTATGAAAACAGAAATAAACAGTACTAAGACTGTTATCACTCAAATCCCCATACCTATTGTGCCAGTGATGACTCCGGCAGTACCGATAAATCATGGGGAGAAACCAGAAAAATTCAATAGAAATGATTTTAAAAAATGGCAACAAAAGATGATATTTTATGTTACAACATTGAATTTGGCTCACTTCACTCATGAAAAAGCTCCGACACTGAACGAAGGAGACACTGACCGGCAAGTGGTTACCGCAGCCGATGCATGGAAACATGGTGATTTTCTGTGTCAAAATTATATCCTCAATGGGTTGGACAATACACTGTACAATGTGTATAGTGTCAAAAACAATGCTAAAGAACTATGGGAATCTTTAGATCATAAGTATAAGACAGAGGATGCCGGTACAAAGAAATTTGTTGTCGGCCGTTTTCTGGATTTTAAAATAATAGATTCCAAGACAGTTTTTAGCCAGGTTCAAGATCTCCAATTAATTCTCTATGACATACATGTGGCAGGGATGGTTCTTAGTGAATCTTCCCAAGTAGCAGCAAAAATTGCCACCATCCTGGAAAGAATTCAAGAATTATCTGAAGCATAAATGCAAGGAGATGAAATTAGAGGAATTGATAGTGTTGCTTAGAATTGAGGAGGACAATCGTGGTTCCGAAAAGAAGTCAGGAAACCATGTCATGCATGCTAAAGCAAATGTTGTGGAATATAAACATGGGTCAAAGTTCAACAACAAAAAGCGAAAGCAAGATGGCAATGGTCCCAAACAAGGATCCACTAGTAAGATCAATAAAGAGATCAACAACAGGGTCAACAAGAGATTCAAAGACAAGTGTTTTGTGTGCGGCAAAGATAGACATCGCTCTAAAGATTGTCATGTTCACAAGGATGGAGGGAGTTCAAGTAAAAATCCAACTCAAGCCAACATGGCCGAGGATTTTTGTCTTTCCGATGGAGTGACAGACATCAATCTTGCTGCAGTAGTCTCTGAAGCAAATTTCGTGGGCAATCTCAAGGAGTGATGGATGAATACTGAAGCAACCCGCCATATCTATGCAGATAAAAAGATGTTCACAACCTACAAAGTGGTGAAGAACAACGTTTTATGAGAAACTTCTTTACTTCAATTGTGGAAGGACAAGGAAAGATCATGTTGAAAATGACCTCGAAAAAAGAACCCACGCTCAACAATGTACTCTATGTGCCAGAAATTCACAAAAATCTGATTTTTAGGTCATTGTTGATTTAGAATGGGTTTAAATTAGTCTTTGAATCTAACAAGGTTGTACTCTCCAGGAGTGGCATGTATATGGGGCGAGATTATATGAGTGATGGGCTTTTTTCAGGTCAATGTAAATACTGTTGTACCAAATTTGGCTATTAATAATAAGAACACATCTTCTGTTTATCTTGTTGAATCTTCTTTTTTATGGCATGGTAGGTTAGGACAAGTTAATTTTAATTCTTTACATAGACTTGTTGCTTTAGATTATTTACCAAACTTAGAGTTTGATCTAAATCATAAATGTGATATTTGTATTGAGGCAAAACTCACTAAGGCATCATTTAATAAAGTAAAAAGAAGTACTGAACCTCTAAATTTAATTCACACAGGTATTTGTGATTTAAAATTTTTTGAAACTAGAGAAGGTAAGAAATACTTTATTACTTTTATTGATGATTGCACTCGATATTGCTATGTTTACTTATTGAGAAGTAAAGATGAAGCCATAGAAGCTTTTAAGCAATATAAACTTGAGGTTGAAAATCAACTTGAAACTATTAAGATAGTGAAGAGTGACAGAGGTGGTGAGTATGAGATGCACCATTTGAGGAATTTTGTTTTGAATATGGTATTATTCACCAAATCACTGCACCCTATTCTCCTCAGTCAAATGGAGTTGCTGAGAGAAAGAATCGAACTCTTAAAGAGATGATGAATGCCATGTTGATTAGTTCAAGGTTCCTCAGAACTTGTGGGGGGAGGCGATTTTATCCGCTAACTTTATCCTTAACAGGGTACATCACAAGAAAATTAATCAAACACCTTATGAATTATGGAAAGGTCGATGACCTACCTACAATTACCTCAAAGTGTAGGGGTGTTTGGCCAAGGTAGCAGTCCCTAGTCCCAAAACGACTAAGATGGGACCAAAAACCATTGATTATGTGTTCATTGGTTATGCCGGCAGAAGGAAGAAGGAAGGCCTTGATTATGTTGGTTATCCCTTGAACAAAACGTTTGACATGAAAAGTTTGGTTATCCCTTGAACAAAAAGTTTGACATGAAAGATTTGGGAGTAGCAAATGTAATTCTAGGAATAAAAATTACTAGAACATCTGAAGGATATGCTTTATTTCAGTCTCACTATGTTGAGAAGATTTTGGAGAAATTTGGAAAGCATGATGACCATCCTGCTAAAACACTTGTTGTCATTAGTCTTCATTTGTCAAAAAATACAGGTGCAGGCATATCACAATTAGAGTACTCTCGGATAATCGAAAGCTTAATATACTTAATGAATTGCACTAGGTCAGATATAGCCTATGCTGTAAGCAAATTGGGTAGGTACAGAAGTAATCCAGGGTCTGATCATTAGAAAACAATAATTAGGGTACTTAGGTATCTAAGACATACCCAGAATTATGGTTTACATTATACCAAATATCCGGCATTACTCAAAGGGTACAGCGATGCAAATTGGATATCGAATACTAAAGACTCAAAATTCACTAGTGGATACGTCTTTATCCTAAGAAGTGCTACAGTCTCTTGGAAATCCTCTAAACAGACATGCATAGCAAGGTCGACAATGGAATCTGAGTTTATCGCATTAGATAAAATAAGAGAAGAAGCAGAATGGCTTCATAATTTCTTAGAAGACATTCTAATGTGGCCTAAACCTATGCCAACTATATGCATTCACTGTGATAATGAAACAGTAATAGGACGAGCACATAATCATATGTATAACGGTAAGTCTTGACACATTCATTGAAGACATAATACCGTTAGGCATTTTCTCTCACATGGAATAATATCCATAAAATATGTAAAGTTAAGGGAGAATATTGCAGACTCATTGACTAAAGGGCTAGCTAGAGAGCAAGTGTACTATTTATCAATAGGAATGGGATTAAAGCCTAATACTTAAAAGTCGCCATAATGGCAATCCAACCTAGTTAACTGGAGATCCCAAGATCTAAGTTCAAAGGGACAACCGAATTATGGATGATTTCACGTATCACTAAGAAGGTTTACTCCTACCCATTTCTATGATAAGAAGAGTGATACCTGTAGCGTTAGTAGGATAAACTTTGTTTTTAATGATTTTTATAGCTTGGACATCCAAGTGGGATATAACAGGATACTCTTAAATAAGAAATAACCTATATGAGTGTGAACTGGGCTGATTCTGTGAGAATTGAGAAGGCTAAATTCTCTAGAGCACTCATGAATTACCAGGTGTTGTTCAGGGCCAAAATGAACACAACCGTAAGAACCAAACTATGTTTGCGGATACACTATGTGTAGTCTATTGTCTTGGCTTACACAAACAGCTGAATAGTTCAAGGTATCGCGTCTATTGGTTAGCCAGTAAGTCCGATAGGCTTTCACTAAAGGAGGTTCAAAGCCAAAAGTTACCTATCTCGATGTGATGTATCTTCTTAATGAACTCTTTCTTTGTTTGCATCTTGTTGCATGTCTGTTATCATGAATTCCATTCATGTGGGGGATTGTTAGAAAATAACTTTGGAAAATCCTTATTTTTGTCTAACTTTGAGTATTAATTAAGATGGGACTCAAGCGTTATTTTTAACGTTTTTTATTGGGTTCATGTTTAATGCCGTATAGTGAATAAAACCATGTATTTAGTTGCTCAAAACCAATTCCGGATGAATGAGAATTCAATGTGCGTTTTCAAGTTCGTGGAAATGGCTTTAGGTGGGTTTCCTACACATTTGTGAAATGTACTTATCCCACATTGGAAAGACTTAAGGTTTTGAATGAGTTTATATACTGCAGCTTGGGATACTTGGGATAGGCCCCAAGGGGTACCCAAGTTTGTGGAAGGGTGAGGTTATGGGTAAAGTGAGCTAAACCCATTGGACCCAAAACAAAAACCACACGCGCGCGCTGTCGCCGCCGTCCGTCCGTCCGTCCGGTTGATCAGGTGGGTTGGACCTGGCCTAGACCTAGGCCTGGGCGCTGGTGTGAGGTTGGGTTGGGCTTATCCGATCCAATACTTATCTTTTTTGGGCCAAAATCATTTGCATTTTATTTATTTAATTTTGAATTTCGGTTTTCAAAATTCAAATCAAATCTATCCAAATTTTTTCTCACACCCAAAAAGGTCATATCTGTTGAATTCACCCGAATAGGTTTTTCTACATGTTGACTCCACCCGAACAGATTCAAATCTGTCCAAGTACCTATTCAGTCTGTCCGAACAGGTAGAAAATAACCACATTTTCTCCTATAAAATGCCAGCCTTCTAGCAATTCAGGAGATTAATTTTTCCCTCAAAATTTCGTATTTCTTCTTCTGTTCTTCTTTGTGTTTCTGCATTTAATTTTTAGGAAGAAAGAAAAAGAGTCACAACAGAGTTTTGGTTCGCCAGACTTGATTTTGTAATGCTGCAAATCAAGTGTTAGTTGTTGTATCCTGGGAAATAGATGCCGGTAAATCTTGAAGCACCGGAGCGAGGGCGAAATCTACTTTAAGGAGATTGTGTCCAACACAAGCCTCGACTTTAATTTCTGTAAGCATTTAATTCAAAATTTAATTTATATAATTATTTTTTGAATTTTTTTTTTGTTTATTTAATCTATACATTTAATTTACACACACACACCACTGTAGGTATAACAGGTTATTGAGCTATTGTCCAGTATCATAAACTAGAGAACACGAGAGAGATTCAGAATTTTAGTGTTCTTTATCAAAATTGTTAGGCAAATATCTTGATAATATCCTTGTCCGTTACCATTTGTTATCTGTCTATGCATAATGCTTTAATGTAGGTTGAAATATCTAGCATTGCCTAAATGGACACATTGATTTTCATACTAACTAACATTAAAAATGGACATCACCATTACAAGATTATTGCAAGTTAATATTATTATAGAGAATTTAAATTTATAGCATTTTTTATATACTTTGTCTTATTTGAGAACATGTTATTTTAGTAATTTTTTTATTTTTTAACTAAAATATGAAATGAAAAAATTAATATATTTAGAATGATCTTTTTTACTTTTATCATAAAAATATATAAAAAATACAGAGATTTGTTGGTTTTTTTTTTGATTTTTTTAATGACTTTTGATTGGTCCCAGAGGATTTTAGTTGCACCATGTGTACGTCTAATTAGATTGAATGATACAATTGACCAGACTGGAAACAATCTAATACCTTGATTAAAAAATGCAAAAAGTATAAAATTTATGATTTTTATACTAGTTTTTTCTCCTATTTTTTAGATTATTTTTGTAGAGTTTTCAAAATGTTCTTGCACTTAACAGTGTCATTTGATAGCATAGGCAAATAGACTCCTATCGGACCAACTAATATTAATTGGGCTTCTAAAACAATCATAACATCTTGATATAATTTTATATTAAATCATAAATTTAGAAAGGATAATTGTAATGCCCTGAAATAAACACAATATACCCATCTTTTAACAATCAATAAAGAGCAACATAAATGAATTGATAAGCTTTCATTAATCAGAGTTTGATATACAAAAAGTGACACATGCAATATATATTTATAAACAGTAAGTCTTGAATCTATAGCATGTGTTACAAGATTGAGAAAAGAAATGAAAGCTAAACAGATAATCATATGCCCTAAAGGCTTATATCCTTTTAAGTCAGTGTTTGGGTACATCAAAAGTGAGTCTTAACCTCAATACTGGGAAAGACCGAGGCTTGCACAAGATTAAATACAAAATAACAACAATGAGCCTTCAGCTTTACAGTCCTCCCAAGCTAAATTCTTGGTAGAAGTATATCACTAGTACCTAAAATGTTTTTCTCACATAGGGTGAGTCAAAACTCAATAGAAATACTACAATACAATGTATAAATCTTAACAAAGCCATAAGGTTTTATGCATATGCAATGCTAGTACCAAAACATTTATATCATTTTCAAAAGCCTTGCTATGTCAGTTTTATATCTCAATTCTCAAAACCATGCCCTTTACAATAAAAAGAAGAGGGAAATCTCAAACCAATACAACATTTTACGGATATTTCGTCTGTGGGAAATCGTTAAACGATACCCGTGTAACCGTAGCCTATACAAGCGCTACTATTGCTATTTTACGGATATTTCGTCTACAAAAATCGGCACCCATGTATACTCATGTTTTTCGAGACTTTCACCTTGGACACACAGGCCAACTTAATTTGGTGATACACACCTCTTTCCAACGTTCACCCATTTTTCTCAATATGATATACATTTTGAATGTAGTAAATAAGCAACAATGTTCAATGCACATAGATGAAAAATTAGTTTTAGTTCACTTAATTTTCAAGCAATTTCTACAACACCCATAGCTATCCTCCACCGATAGCCCAAAACATATATCTCTAAATAAATAAATAAATTTCATTAAAGATGCACTTTTCTAAAATCTCAAAATGGGAGTGATAATCCATATCCAACTCCACCCTCATCATTATCATCATTTCAATTTCACAATTTCCATATCAATTCCATTTTCTCTTTAGAATCTCAAACATTCACATTTTTGGGCAAAAACCCTTTTCTCTTTGAAAATTCATTTCAATGCAAGAAATATCTCATTTTAACATATATCAACTCCAAATTTATAATCATAACCTTTTTCTTAAAACCATTTGAAAACCCCTCTTTTACCTTTTGATTCTAAACCCTAGGTTTTTGACCAAATAAAAACCCCCAAACCACTATAATCTTTTGGAATAGCAAATAGCCAGGTAAGACGCATACAAGAGTATGAAGAATCCCTACCTCAAACTTAGAAGAGGAAGAAGGAAGAGAAGCCCAAAAGTTGACGGTGACAAAACAACGATTTGTTCTGATCAAAACGAAGCCCTCAACAAGCTCTACACTTAATCTTAAAGGAGCAAGGTGGGGAGATGCTTCTAAGTGAGTAGATTTGAAGATCTTTAAGCAAAAAATGAGTTTAGAGAGAAAGAAGAGCGAGTCACGGTTTAGAGAGGGAAAAGAAAAGATAAAGTGAAGAAAATGGTAAGTGAGGGCCCTATTTATAGTGCTAAGTTAAAGTAAAATAAAGTCTCAAAGTCAACCCAAAAGAACAAGTCAAAATCCCCAAGAAATAGGGCCCAAAACCGAACTAAAATCTAGAAAAAAAACTCACAGGAGTCGACCCTTGTGTTAGTGGTGTTGATCCTTCAGGAAGAATTGACAAAAATTAACAATGCTGGCAGCAGACAAGGTGTTGACCATTCGACCAAAAGTGACAACACTAAATTTCAACAGCTAAGCCCAAATTCTACAATAGACAAGGGTTGACCCTTTCCAAACTGGTGTCTACCCTTGAGGCTAGCAACAAAAGACAAGTGTTGACACCACCAGGGCTGGTGGCGATCTTAAATTTCAGTAGTTATTCCAAGAACGTAGCAGTAAGATGGTGTCGACACCTCCAAAGCTAGTGTCGACCCTACAGTAGAACAAGACAAAGAAAATGAGGCAATGTCGACACCAACAAGGATGGTGTCAACTCCTAAAGCCAAAGCCAAACATAAAGAGAAAGGAACGGCCATCACGAATATGGTTTCCCAGATTCAAAAGTAATAAATGGGTCAAGTCTAAATCAAGATCGCTGTAACCTCCCCCCTCAAGGAATTTCATCCCCAAAATTTAAACCAAACATTCAAAACCATGTTTTGACCAATTACAACATTGATAATAATTTCAAATCATCACTGAGAGGGTGATTTATGATCCAGTGGTGGGCCGAGGTATCGACCGAGCAAGTTGAGAGCCCAGCAGTGCATTGGGCCGAGATGATCGACTGTTCACCTAGAGATGGGCTACCAGAATTTGGGCCGAGCAGAGTACGGGCTGAGTGTCACCCCGGACCGGACAGAAACTGCTCGGTAAGGCAGTGCTCGGTCGGACCAGGGTGCTCGGTCCGAATATGGCCAAAGCCGGATTGACCGAGTGACCGGCGGCCAGGAAGGCATGGACAACCGAGGAAGTTAAGTGGCCGGTGCCCGGAAAGGCGTGGTCGGCCGAGGAGACTGTATGGTCGGCAGGAAGGCCGATCAAAGTAAGTATCCGGGCTAGGCTCGGCCGGGATGCCGCTTAGCCCGGTCCTCCGTTTGTTTATCCGGTTAGGCGCTTAAGGTATGAAGCATGGTACGACCGAGGTAGGGCAGCTCGGCTGCCGAGCTCCAGCTGTGCTGACAGGCAGTTGAGAGCAGGTGATGAATGGCATGGTTTATGCTGACAGATGGGATAGCAGAGCCACGTGTCAGGAGATGACAGGGAGTGGATATGGGGCTCAGAAGGTATATAAGCATGTCTGCGCCCCCCATACGCGACATACGAACATCTCTGTAAGAAAATCCTTACACTCAAACACTCTCTCCCTTCTCTCTATTCCCTCTAAGGTGTGTGCTAATTTGACCGTCGGAGGGTGTTTCCGGGCACACACCGCCAGGTAACTCACCGTTATTTGCTCGCAGGTGATCAGATATCGACGGAACTCGGAAGAAAGGAATACGGGCACGCCGGAATATTTGCTCCCCGTACAATCACCATGGCCCATTCACCGGTCATCCATTCTCATCAACAAGGTAAATATTTGCTCATTACTGAATATACAATTAATATTTTCAAAACATATATAATGTTTACATTATATTAACATAACAAGGTTTCAATACATGTTCAAACATCAATAAACAAGTTTGGATATTTCTCACAGACTTCTGTCTCACGCTCCCAAGTGGCCTCCTCAACCTCGTGGTGTTTCCATAACACTTTCACCAAAGGAATTGTCTTGCCTCTCAAGACTTGGTCTCGAGTATCCAAGACTCTCACCGGTCTCTCCTTATACGAGACATTCTCATCTACCTCTAACTCAGTCCAGTCCAACACGTGTGATAGATCCGGCTCATACTTCCGGAGCATATAGATATGAAACACGTCATGAACCCAAAAAAAATGTAGCGACAAGGCCAAACGATAAGCTACCTCTCCAATCTACTCTAGGATCTCAAAAGGCCCGATAAATCTAGGAGATAACTTCCCACTCTTTCCAAACCTCATCAAGCCCTGTCTAGGTGATATCTTCAAGAAGATGTGATCTCCTACCTTAAAGAATAACGGTCTCCTCCTACGGTCGTCATAGCTCTTTTGACAACTTTAAGCCGTGACCAACCTCTTACGGATAAGTGCAACTTTCTCCATTGTTTCCCAGACTAACTCTGGACCCAACATAGGTGCATCGCCTACCTCAGCCCAACACATAGGAGACCTACACGGTCGGTCATATAAGGCCTCAAACGGTGTCATGCCAATACTCAACTAGAAGCTATTGTTATAGACAAACTCCACTAAGGGCAAGTGTCTCTTCTATGACCCCTTAAAGTCAAGAACACAACCCCGAAGCGTATCCTCTTGAATCTAAATAGTACGCTCAGACAGGCCGTCAGTCTGAGGATGATATGCGATACTGAAAGTCAACCTAGTGCCCAAGGCATTCTGCAGGCTTTGCCACAAATGAGCAGTAAAACATAGATCTCTATCCGAAACAATCGTTACAGGGACCCCGTGCAACCTCATTATGTCCCTAACGTAAAGGTCGGCTAGATAATCTACTGAGTCATTCATACGCATAGGTACAAAGTGCACTGACTTGTTTAATCGATCATCTACCACCCAAATGGCGTCATTACCGCGTTGAGTCCTCGGAAGTTCCACAACAAAATCCATTGTTACACACTCCCACTTCCACTCCGCTATAGGCAAGGGTTGCAACAAACCCGCTGGCCTTTAATGCTCAGCCCTCACTTGTTGACAAATAAGGTACCTCGATACAAACACGACCACATCCTTCTTTATCCACTTCCACCAAAGCTGGTGACTAAGGTCATGATACGTCTCTGTGCCTCCCGGGTGCACCGCAAGGCATGAATGGTGAAACTCTCGAAGTACTTTCTCTCGACAAGACTCCAGCACGAAAAGACGGTCAAGGTATCTAACACTCAAGTCAGAATATACATTCAAGCCTTTCTTTACCTTCCCACTAAAGATTTTCTCCCAGAGGGATTTTATCTCAAGGTCTTCCTCTGCGCTTCTATCACTCGACTCATAAGTGCAAGTCGTGCAACTACTGAAAACAAGGTTGCAAGCTCAACGAACTCGCCAAGATGCAAGTCAAACTCACCAATAGCACCCAATATAAATAACAACAATGAGCCTTCAGCTTCACAGTCCTACCAAGTTAAGTCTTTGGTGGAGGCATATCACTTTAAGCCCAGTAGAAATACTACAACACAACGTATAAATCTTAACAAAGCCATAAGGTTTTATGCATATGCAATGCTAGTACCAAAACATTTATATCATTTTCAAAAGCCATGAAATGCCAGTTTTATATCTCAATTCTCAAAACCATGCCCTACAATAGAAAGAAAAGGGAAATCTTAAACCGATACAACCTTTTACGAATATTTCATCTGAGGAAAACCGTTAAACGACACCCATGTAAACATAGCCTATACAAGCGCTACTATTACCATTTTACGAGTATTTCGTCCGTGGGAATCGGCACCTATGTATACGCACGTTTTTTGAGACTTTCACCCTAGACAGAAAGGTCAACTTGATTTGATGATACACACTTCTTTCCAACATTCACCTCTTTTCTCAATATCATATACATTTTCAATATAGTAAATAAGCAACAATGTTCAACGCACATGGATGAGAAATTAGTTTTAGTTCACCTAATTCTCATACAATTTCTACAACACCCATAGCTATCCTCCACTAATAGCCCAAAATAGATATCTCTAAACAGATAAATAAACTTCATTAAAGATACACTTTTCCAAAATCTCAAAAGGGAAGTGATAATCCATATCTAACTCCACCCTCATCATTATCATCATTTCAATTTCACAATTTATGTATCAATTTCATTTTCTCTTTACAGTCTCAAACATTCACATTTTTGGACAAAAACCCCTTTCTTTTTGAAAATTCATTTCAATGCAAGAAATATCTCATTTCAACATATATCAACCCCAAATTCATAATCACAACCTTTTTCTTAAAACCATTTAAAAATCCCTCTTTTACCTTTTGATTTGAAACCCTAGGTTTTTGACAAAATAAAAACCCTCAAACCACCATAATCTTTTGGAATAGCAAATAGTTAAGATAAGACGCATATAAAAGTGTGAAGAATCCCTACCTCAAACTTAGAAGAGGAAAAAGGAAAAATGAAGAAAAGCTCAAAAGTTGACGATGACGAAACAACGATTTGTTCCGATCAAAACGAAGCCCTCGACAAGCTCTACACTTAATCTCAAAGAAGCAAGGTGAGGAAATGCTTCTAAGTGAGTAGATCTGAAGATCTTTGAGCGAAAAAATGAGTTTAGAGAGAGAGAAGAGTAACTTACAGTTTAGAGAGGGGAAAGAGAAGATAAAGTGAAGAAAATGATAAGTGAGGTCCCTATTTATAGTGCTAGGTTAAAGTAAAAAAAATCCCAAAGTCAACCAAAAGAACAAGTCAAAATGCCTAAGAAGTAGGGCCCAAAACTGTAACAACCCCGACCTCTGATTAACATGTAATCCATGATTAAGAATGATTAATAAGTAATTAAGGTGAAATCCTAAATTAATTGCATGTATGTGTGTTGTATTATTGTGCTTATATCTGTTTATCGTAGAAATATATGTTTTTGTTTTTGTTTCGTCCTACGAATTGAAGGCCTTATTGGCATCTGATTACAAAATTGACTTGATTTATGTGTTATTTACGATATTTGGAAAATTATGGAAGGTTCAATTAAAAGTCGGTTCGGAACAATTAAATTAGAATAATTTAATGTCCAATTAATTAAACCATTAGCCAAGCCCATATAAGGCTCCCATTGTGCCTTCACTCATTTTTTTCTTCTTCTCAACACATTTTTGAGCTCACACACATAAACCAAATGTGAAAAAGAGAGAGAGAAGGGAAGTTTAAGCTCAAATCAAGAAGATTGCTAGAGAACTTAGAGATTTTAGCTTAGAACTTCCAACAATTGATCATCTAAAGCATCATTGACAAGCCTAAGTAAGAATTCAACCTTTAGATTATACAATTGTAATGTGTAAGATATGTACTCTGAAGAATTAAGTAAGTTGATATAAGAATTGAGTTAGAATTGAAGAGAAATGAACCATATCATGCATGCATGCTCATTTCATCATAATTTGAAGTTGTTTTCAAAGAATTCCCCCTTGCATGTCCTCATTTTGGCCTTGGTCTAAGAATTCAACACGTTTTGAGTTAGACACCTCATTGGATCATGTTTTGAAAGCTTGGAACTTGCACCTTTACATGCATGGTATATAATGTTATGTTTTCAAAGATTTGTGTTTTGTCTTGAACAATTGGCAAGCTTTTAGGCCTTGATCTTGTGAAATGATTTTGAATTCACCATGGTTTCACCGTTTATAATTGTTTCCTATAGTTTCCTCAAGTTTTTGGCCAAAAAGGCCTTGTTTTGCAACTTTGAAGTTGAGTTTAGAGCTAAGAAGAGCAATTTGGAAATTTCAGAATTTTGCTCTCCACTCGAGCGGCAAAATCTACGCTCAAGTGACCACTCTGCGATGTTGCACTTTCGCTCGAGCAATCAAATGTTTGCTCGAGTGAGAAATGCGAGCTCCTAGAAGTTCACACATTTTACAGACTGCTCGAACGGCAGAAGTTACTCTCTAGTGGAGACCTCGGTCTTACGCTCGAGCGACCATCGAGCAGCTATCGAGTGGAGATGTCACGTAACTAGTACTTTTTCAGAGTTTACAGACCGCTCGAGCGACGGAATCTACGCTCGAGCGTCCCCTCACATGTTTGCATGTCCGCTAGAGCAAGGTAGGTTGCGCTCGAGCGTGACCCCTATTTTTAACAAGTTTGGTTAAGAGTCCCAGAGTGCATTTAGGCATTCACATTGCATCCTAGGCATTCCTAGGCCATGTTTAAGACCCAATGAGGGGCTAGGACTTAGAAACACACTAAGAATTAAACGAAAGAAGTTGAGTGTCAACCGAGTGTGTGTTTCATTATATGTTTCTGCTATGTGTGTGTAGGTTACGCGCCACAAGTTATCTGATTTGTTTGTTCTGCAAGTAGAGCTATCTGTGAGTAATAACTCTGTAAAGTTATGTTTAACTTTAATTATTTTCTGATGCTATGAAATGATCAATTTTCTAAAATACGATGTTTTGTATGAATGAATGATTGTCCAAATTTCTAAAATGTATTCGTGGCATCCTTAGCACAAGGCCCTTGCTCGGGGGTAATAATACCGTGGTTTACAAGTACAAGGCCCTTGCCCAAAGGTAATAATATCGTGGCTCACATGGCCCTTGCCCGGGGGTAATAATATCGTGGTTCAAGCAAGTTACAAGTTCCTGGTACCGGAGGTTCCTTAAAGGAACTAACAAGCATGTTAATGCTAATAGATGTACCATGTATGATTAAGCATGAACTCTAGTTTCTGTATGTAGTTTGAATAAGAACATGATTATAAATCTATATCTGATATGAACTCTAATTTCTGAATCTATCATGGACATCGTTCGTTAAAACCCTTTACTCTGTTATTATTCACTAGGCTCCCACTCACTATTAACTTTATGTATGTAGGTGAGCAAGCGCGTGACCAAGCCTAAGCTGCTGCTTGGAGTGTTGAGTCAGCCAACCACTGTGCCTCCCGAGGAGGTTCCCTTTTTGAAGAAGTCAAGTTTCGTGACCCTGACAAAGGTGTTTTGTTGTTTGTTTTTTCTTATCTATATATGGGGATAAATTCTTTTTTTTTAAGTACATCTGTGCATATGGGTGACGTAAGGCTAACGTATTTTTGACGTCACATATATATATATATATATATATAAGTTCGTTTAGAAAATTTCCGTCTTATATACATTATCACAACTCTATGGACATTGTATATTTCTATAATTGCTTCCGCAGCCCCTTATCACGTGTCATTCTATTAAGAGGCCTTTGGTAATCCAAGGATTATTGGTCAGTTACGACAATTAACTTATAGGGCTGATTTGGGTTGTGACAAAAATCGAACTAAAATCTGGAAAAAAAACTCACAGGGGTCAGCCCTTGTATTAGTGGTGTCGACCCTTCAGGAAAAATTGACAAAAATTAACAATGTTGACAGCAGATAAGGTGTTGACCCTTGGACCAAAGGTGTTAACACTAAATTTCAGCAACTAAACCCAGATTCTGTAGTAGACAAGGGTCAACCCTTCCCAGACTAGTGTCGACCCTTGAAGCCAGCAACAAAAGACAAGTGTCGACACCACAAGGCTGGTATTGACCCTAAATTTCAGTAGCTATTCCAAGAACATAGCAGTAAAATGGTGTCGACACCTCCAAAGATGGTGTCGACCCTAGAAGCAAAACAAGACAAAAAAAAAAAAAAAAGGCAGTGTCGACACCAATAAGGATGGTGTCGACCTCTGAAGCTAAAACCAAACATAAAGAGAAAAAAACGACCATCACAAATATGGTTTCTCGATTTCAAAGGTAATAAATGGGTCGAGTCTAAATCAAGATCGCTATAATAATTTTATAATATGGTCAACTTAAATCATACAATTAAATGCATTTTGCTGTATAGTTCAAATTATTTAAATTCTAAAATATTTTTTTAATCAAAAGAAACTTCAATTTGTATAAATTTCTTCAATAGTTATTTACTTGTATAATTGTCTCTATTTGGATCACATGAACAAAAAGTAGAAATTTTAGGGACTAAATAGATGAAATTTATAATTTAAGGATGAAATAAAAAATAAAAAATAATAAAAAGATACGATAGTTTAGAAAATAAAAGTGATGTTACACACATATTAAAGAAAAAAATGAATTTCTATCTCATAAGACTTCTAAAAGTTTCAAGTTCCCAATCTAAATTCTTTTATTTTTTGATATTTTAAAATTAAAAAAATATTGTATTTTCCAACTCCTGCCATCCTTCTTTTTTTGGACATTTTGAATTTTAAAAAACCCTGCGGTTGCTTATCCTTATTTTTTTAATCACCACGGCCGCCTCTCTCTACTCCTTCATGCTTTGCCTTTGAGTCCCCTTTCTTCAATGATTGCTTTGTCACATGCAGGATCTAACAGTAAGCAATAGTAACTATAACGATTGTTTTTTTTGAGTTGTCATATACTTTTAGTGTTGTTTTGGCTAATTTATTCTACTTTTTAGATACATATTCATGACATGGATCTAAAAAGTATTTTAAAAAAATTAATTATTTGTATAAGCCATCAAGTTTTTTATTGTGGGCGTTGAATATTTTGAAACTTCTACTTTTATCAACTTTAAATGATGATTTACACTATGTTTAGTTCAGAGGTCAGTAAAAAATATATGATCTATCATTTAGGTGAAAAAAGAAAATAAATGATTGTATTTTATAATTATTATGTTTAGATAGATAAAAAAGTAAAACATGTGTGAGAGAAAGAGAGAGATATGAGTGTATTTTTTTTTTCTTTTATATTTTAAGGGACATTCTTCATATTATAAATATCTTACAATCAATCAAGTTATTTCACATTTTTAGCTAGAAAAAAAGTACCATATGATAGCTAACTTTTAAAATGTCGTACTTAGAGTAGGTTTTGTTTATTTTATTAATTCTATTTCACCACTAAGAAAATCTAATTTGTAGCTAGAACATATGTATCATTTTATACTCTCACTTTCTCTTATATATATATATATATATATATGGATACGTATGCTTATATATGTGTTTTTCTTCTATGTTCATATGTTATTTTTTTATTGGATATATTCACGTCACCGTTTTTCAAGTTACTAACTTTTAAAATGTCGTGCTCGCAGTAGGTTTTGTCAATTTTGTTCTATTTCATCACCAAGAAGATTTAATTTGTAGTTAGAATAGAGGTATCATTTTATACTCTCACTCTCTCTTATGTGTGTAGTTTTCTTCATACTTGTTATTTTTTGATTGGATATATTCATGTCATTATTTTTACAATTTAAAAAAATAATAAACTATTTAGGGATTTTTATTGATAAGTCCAATTTAGAAGTGTTTTAACCCAAGAAATTCATGAAGGAATATTTTAACCCATTTAGTCCCATGTATGTATAGTTTTATTCCATAAAGTCCATTTTCTTGATTTACACTATTTTCTTGGACACTTATGCCCTTATATTTAATTTTGATATCCTTATAAATATTTTTTCAACGATTAGCAATTTAATGATATGAAAATTCATATTTGTAGGAATGTAAATTGACCCGTGGGCGGCTCGAAACCCGCCCGCGAGCCAGGGCGGGCCCGGCCCGTTGACAATGTGAATATTCACATTGACATGTTAACATTCACATTAAATAGGAGTGTAAAATTGGCCCCCGTCCCGTGGCGGCGCGAAACCCGTCCGCGGCCTATGGGCGCCGGGGCGGTCCGGTCCGGTCCGTTGACAATGTGAATATTCACATTAACATGTTAAAATTCACATTGATAAGAGTATAAAATTGGGCCGCGGCCATGGGCGGCCAAAAGCCCGCCCGCAGCCCGGGCGGGCCCGGCCCGGCCCGTTGACAATGTGAATATTCACATTGACATGTTAACATTCACATTGTAGGAGTGTAAAATTAGCCCGCGCCTCGTAGCTGCCGAAACCCGACAACGGCCCGTGGCGGGCCCGGCCCGGCCTGTTGACAATGTGAATGTTCACATTGACATGTTAACATTCACATTGATAAGAGTATAAAACTAGACAGCAGCCCAGGGCGGGCCGACTCGGCCCGGCCCGGCCCGTTGACAATGTGAATATTCACATTGACATGTTAACATTCACATTAATAGGAGTGTAAAATTGGCCCCCGTCCCGTGACGGCGCGAAACCCGCCCGGGGCCATGGGCGGCCCGGGGCGGGCTCGGTCGGCCCGTTGACAATGTGAATATCCACATTGACATTGACATGTTAACATTCACATTGATAAGAGTATAAAATTGGCCCGTGGCCCATGGACGCCAAAAGCCCGCCCGCTGCCCGGGGCGAGCCCGCCCGTTGACAATGTGAATATTCACATTGACATGTTAACATTCAATTCATGTTAACATTCACATTGATAAGAGTGTAAAATTGGCCTGCAGCCCGTGGACGGCCCGAAGCCCGACCGCAGCCCGAGGCAGGCTTGGCCCGACCCGTGACAATGTGAATATTCACATTGACATGTTAACATACACATTGATAGGAGTGTAAAATTAGTCCGCACCCCGTGGCTGCCCGAAACCCGTCCACGGCCTTTGGGCGGCCCGGGCGGGCCCGGCCCGGCCTGTTGACAATGTGAATATTCACATTGACATGTTAACATTCACATTGATAAGAGTGTACAATTGGCCCGTGACCCGTGGGCAGCCCGAAGCCCGACCTCGGGCCAGGTGGGCCCATCCCGTTGGCATGTGAATATTCACATTGACATGTTAACATTCACATTGATAGGAGTGTAAAATTGGGCCGCAGCCCGTGGGCGGCCCGAAGTCCGATCGCAGCCCGAGGCGGGCTTGGCCCGACTCGTGATAATGTGAATATCACATTGACATGTTAACATTAACATTGATAGGAGTGTAAAACCTGTCCGCTGCCCGAAGCTCGCCTGCGGCCCGGGGTATGCCCGGTCCCAAACCCGGGCCACCCGGGCCTCCCACGCGCTTCGGCCCGCCCATGGGACGTGAGTCAATTTTACACTTTTATCAATGTGAATATTCACATTGTCAACAGGTCGGGCCAGGCCGCCTCGGGCCGCCCACGGGCCGTAGGCGTGTTTCGGGCAGCCACGGGGCACGGGCTAATGTTACACTCTTATCAATGTGAATGTTAACATGTCAATGTGAATATTCACGTTGTCAACGGGCCGGGCCCGCGTCGGCCCGGGCTGGGCTTCGGGCTGCCCACGGGTCACGGGCTAATTTTACACTCTTATCAATGTTAATGTTAATATGTCAATGTGAATATTCACATTGTCAACGAGCCGGGCCAGGCCTTCCCTGGGCAGCGGGCGGCTTCGGACCGTCCACGGGCCACGCCCAATTTTACACTCCTATCAATGTGAATGTTAATATGTCAATGTGAATATTCACATTGTCAACGGGCCGGACCGGGCTCGCCCCGGGCCGCCCATGGGACGCGAGTCAATTTTACACTCTTATCAATGTGAATGTTAATATGTCAATGCGAAATATCACATTGTTAACAGGTCGGGTACGGGCCCGCCCCGGGCCGCCCGCGGGCCGTGGGCTAGTTTCGGGCAGCCACGGGTCACGGGCTAATTTTATACTCTTATCAATGTGAATGTTAACATGTCAATGTGAATATTTGCATTATCAACGAGTCGGGCCGGGCCCGCCCAGTGCAGCCCACGAGCCGCAGGCGGGTTTCGGGCCGGCCATAGGTCGCGGGCTAATTTACACTCCTATCAATATGAATGTTAACATGTCAATGTGAATATTCACATTGTCAACGGGCCGGGCCGGGCCCGCCCCAACCTGAGCCCGGGCTCGGGCTTCGGGCTGCCCACGGGTCATGGGCCAATTTTACACTCTTGTCAATGTTAATGTTAATGTTAATATGTCAATGTGAATATTCATATTGTGAACGGGCCGGCCCGGGCCCGCCCCGGGCGACGGGCTGGTTTTGAGCCGCCCACGGGCCGCAGGCCAATTTTACACTCCTATCAATGTGAATGTTAACTTGTCAATGTGAATATTCATATTATCAACGGGCCGGGTCGGACCTATTTTTTTGGCTTGTGGGCTGGCCCGGCCCGACTCGACTCGAATTTTTCCGGGCACCCACGAGGATCGACATGAGCCAGGCCCCTACACATTGACGATATAAAC